CGCTTGGTCGTACGTAGGTGTTGTAGGCTTTGGCTTTGGCATCTGGTGGGCTTAACCGGATGTTTCGGCGCAAGAATGTTAGGGTTGAGTTGGCTTTGTTTGTTATGTTGTCGATATGGCATTTCCGAGATAGGTCTGGTGTGATGGAACTCCAAGATACTTTGACTGGTTGGTTTGTCTGGTATATTTGATATGGAAGACGATGGGGTTCCTCTTAAGTGGTAATCCGGATGACCTCACATTTGGCAGCATTGAACTCCATTTGCCATTCCTTCTCCCAGACTTGGAGGCTGTCAAGGTCATCTTGTAGGGCACGGACTTTATTGTTTTAACATGTGCTCCATTGGCCGACTCAAAAAGCTAAGACTCCAATTTCCGCCCTCGCTATTTGTTTAGCAAGCCTCTAAGAAAAGTCAATTTATTTCAACATCTTTTTGGGCTGTACAGTGCTATTTAAATTTTAACAAATATTTCAACTGATATTTAATGTATAGTTAACAGAAAAAAAAACACAAGAAAAAAAAATAACGAAACTTACAAAAATAAATCACACGCGTGCATGTTTGAAAATACTTTTTGCTACCAGACAGAAACGTGTTAAACGTTTGCAAAAACGTGATTGTCGAAACAAACTTACATAAAATCAACAAATCATAATTTATACACTTTTTTTCAGCGATAATTCAACTTGATGTTTTTATTATTTTATAGATAAAACTGCCCTATTGAATATTGATTTTATTGAAACAAAAATAGAAATTAATTTAGCTCAATTGAATACGCACAATCAACCATAAATAAAACAACTTTAATTTCCCCAACTAATTTCTATCGGTCTTTTTTATCTCCTCCGCTTTGCCGTTTAATAATTGCTTTTTTGCATGCAGAATTAGGAAAAACTGCTTTTTCCTAATTGACAGAAATCCGCATGGAATTTCTTTATTTTGATTCATCAGTTTGTAAAAAGCTATAGAAGAGAGAGCATGTTTAATAAATATTCTTTTATACATTTTACAAAATGGATTATAAATATTTTCTTGTTTTAAATGCATTGTGTCAATGCCTGGCAGAAAATCCTCGTGAAGCTCTGGAATCGCCTCTAATAGCAGATCTGTTTAAGCACTACGATGTAAAAGTTAGGCCTATATATAATTATTCGGAGTCAGTTTTTGTCACTGTAGGTCTTTTACTTAGACAAATTCAAAATTTAGATGAAATTCGACAGTCACTTAAAACAACAGTTAACCTACAATTGTTTTGGAAGGACGAGTTTCTGACTTGGAACGAATCAAATTATCATGGGATATCTAAGATCATTTTTCTAAGATCATTTTTCCGTACAACAAAAACATTTGGATTCCAGACTTGATGATAATCAATGAACTAAATACACCTGGTATGATTGGATTAAAAGATGCCTTTATAAGGGTATACAGTAATGGGCAAGTTTTTGTGTGGACTCAAATCAACATAGAAACTTATTGTGAAATTTATACAAAACAATATCCATATGATAAACAAACGTGCGATATTGCTTTTAGTAAATTTATGAGTTCCGACGATATTGTTAAGCTTCAACCCAGGATAAATGGAATTGATTTAAGTTTCTATGCAGAAATAGCAGAGTGGAATCTCAAAGATAACTATGTTACACCAAGATTAATTCAGATCAATGAATCAACAGACTCCTTAAATATTTTGTCTAATTATACACGTGTAACGTTCTCCATTACATTACAACGTTCCTGCAAACTTTGCATTCTGAACATAATTCTTCCAGTGCTGGTCCTTGCTTTTCTAGATTTGCTTTCATTTTTTGTACCATCTGAAAGCGGTGAGAAGACAAGTTTTCCTTTGTCACTGTTTCTTACATTAGCTGTTTTTCTTACGATAATTACACAGTCTTTGCCGGAATCCGTTGATGGAGTTTCTTATCTTGGATCATATGTCGCGTTTCAACTTGCTGCTAGCGGAACAACGCTTATGTCGGCAGTAATTTCTTTGCAGCTTTATCACGGTGTACACAGTTCCACACGCGTGTCGAAACTACTTTCATTTGCTAATTTTCTTGAGCAATTTGGAAACCGGAGGGCTCTCCGAAAGAAACATGATTCGAAAAGTAAAGTATACGACCTTCACGATATTAAACTTGAGAACGAATGTTCAAAAGGGGTAAAGGTAGAAGCTGAAACCAAATTTAAAAACGCTTCAGTACAGTTTGACCGTATAATGTTCATTGTAATTCTATTTTTTCAAATCATTGCTCTTACAATTTTTCTTGCTAGTGTGTTTAATTAATTCTATTTTGTGCATTTGTGAAATAATGTTACCAATTTCGATTGTTTATGTATATTCAGTTGCAAAAGAAAATGTGCAGTTGGTTACATGTTTTGTTCAACCAATCTATGGATCAACGCAAGTGTTTGGGACTGCAAAGAACTGACGTAACGGCATATAGACTTGGATTTGAATGTTGTTCCTTTCAATAGTTCAAGAATTCAAAGACAATAGGCTTTTCTTACGCTTTTTCATAATTCATAAACAAATCATGACAAAATAGTCAAAGTAGACAGCAACTAGCATTTAATAGCAGAAAACAATGTAGAAAACGTGTTTTAACATGTGCAGTTGAAAAACCAACATTTGCAGTTGAAAAACCACAGAAGACTGACTCGAAAATATACCAATGTCAGCATACAAAAACATAATCTTTAAATAAATAAATTGGGAACCAATCAATTTGTTTTCAGGTTCAAATTAAAATCAAACTATACTTTTCACCATTTAAATTGTGTTGCCATTGGTTTCGAGGAATTAAGATTTGATTTTCAATTTTGAACCAAGCCTTAAAAATAGCAAATAGTTTCTTGTCGAGAACTAGGATTAGGAATGAGATAATGTAATTAAACTTGATGTATAACAAGCTTATAAGGATAGCTTTGGGCCCTATAAGATCAAGTTCAACGCCACTCTTATTAAAAAGAATAAAAGGTTTTCAGTTGAACTAGCAAATTTATGTGGATACCTCAGTTCGGAAAGCTTTTGGGCCCTCCAAGGTAAAAGGTTTCCGGTCCGTTATTAGAGTAAGTAACGTGCTATATAGCGCGCTTATGTAAATAATCCACTTAGGAAAGATTGTGAATGGAATGACAGTCGACGTCTAGCTATATAATTTAATTTTGCGGAAATTGCAATAACTGTGTTACTTTTGGATACATTTCAGCCTCCACTTGCTATTGCTCTAGTTTATTGGCATTGCCTTGATAAGTTCACAGACTTAAACCTTATTTTTACCCATGTGTTATTCATACCCCTTACGAACAGTTTGTTTAATTACCTTTATTGATAGGAGCTTACAGTTAATCCAAAGTCCAGGAAGTACTTCAACGTATTAACAGACTCGGCAAAAAATTACTCCACTCAAAACTGCGGTGTACTGAAAAACAAGCAGACGGCATTTCCGAGATAAAGCGGTATTGTTTTTGTGTTTGGCTTCTAGTCTTTAAATATTTTATTCACAAATTGATTAATGCAGTTCCGTGTAGGATTGATGAAGGCTTCTAATGACCTGCTGGTACGAAAAGAAAATTAAACACGAGATAACGAAGTGAACGATGATTTTTTTGAATATTTAACTTCAAAATCATGAAAATGATATACCTTTCGGATTTATTGAAAAAGTGTAAAGAAATACATATATGCGTCATATTAATATACAATACATTAAGGCGACTCCATCCAACCAACCAACCAACCAACCAACCAACCAACCAACCAACCAACCAACCAACCAACAAATTTAACATTAATCGACAAAAAAGTTTTAGTCAAGATTTATCATTTTCTCAAGTAGATGACTTGAATCAGATTCGATTTCTGTCGACCGGGTGCAATATATATTTCAATTTACCGTTCCTTTTCATTAAAAATAGTATAATTTTATTATTTTCTGTGATCTTGGATTGATGTTAACTGTGTCATATAGTAAACTAGTAAAACGTAACACAAAAAGCAGTTGTCTTAAAATGAGTATGAAATAAGCTTAAGAAATACGATACAAAAATAAATCACTCAGAATTGCTAACATAATTAAATTGATAATGAATCATAAATAATTGAAGCTTAAAGTCTTAAAAACTTCATTGTTGCAATCATAAAACATTTAGGAAAGTATCAAAAAATGCCATTACTGTTTAATAGCATTACGTTTAAATCAAATATTTATAAATGGAGTATATTTTACAAAAATGCCACTGTGATGGAGATCTAATGAACGTGAAAGATGTAGGAGCTGTCATGTAGTTGTCAAACCGAGTTTTAAATTTAACTGTTTAGTTCCACATTTCAAGGTTATCTTAGCGCTAGCGTTGCTTATCTTTTTTACACATATAATAAATATATTCACCTTTTGAAAAGAGAAAACAACTCATACATGGAGTGTAAAACTACAAACTATTTAATAATGAAGAGGGATAAAACATCTCTTATAAGTGATAAAAATAAATAAATGATTCTTGTTAAAAAAGAAATATGATATATAAATGATTCCATAATGTGTTTTTTCCCAATCAATAAAATGTATTATAAAAATCAGAAATGATGATGAAAGGGTTTGTAAACTGAGACATTTCAATAAAAGTTGTTTGTTGAACGTTTGTATGTGTAATAATGGAAGCTTAAACTAATAAAGGATTTAATTAATAAAAATCTATAAAAGCTTTGAGTATCAATTTGAATTATTTGAAAGCTTATTGTGATACTTTGGTACATTAACCAAAGTTTTTGTTTACTATGACATATGTTTTTCCCTGAACTTATGGGTTGTATTTAATGAGAGGGCAAATAAGATATCCATGTAATTGTTTGTATGACCAACACTCAATCGCAGTTAGTTAAAAAAGGAAATCTTAAAATTTACAATATAAGTCATCAGCTAATGTGTTGAGAAAACACTATAAATGAATGCCTAATGTAATTGCATGGATTAAGATTAATTTAATATGAAGATTCATATATTCGTAGCGTTGGCAATGGTCATGCAATATACAATATTGGCACTAGAATATCCAGAACTGGAGTTACAAAATAAAATATTCAAGGGATACAACTCGAATGTAAGACCAGTGAAAAATTGTTCTAAACCAGTTGTTGTCACCGTAGGATTGGCGTTAAGGAAAGTTCTCTATTTAGATGAAATGAGACAGTCATTTAAATCTACCATGAATATTAATCTTTATTGGCATGATGAATCACTACAATGGAATAAATCCGAGTTTCATGGGATAAAGAACGTTGAAATTCCCTACAATAAAAATATATGGATACCTGATTTAATGGTTTTAAATGCTTTGGATAGGCCGGAAAATCTTGGCGTACAGGACGCTTTTATTAGACTGAATGATATTGGACAAGTTTATGTGTGGACTCAAACTAACCTTGAGACAGCCTGTGGAATTAGAACTAAAAAGTATCCCTACGATTTGCAGGTATGTGACATAGTCATCACAAAATTCATGAGCTCAGATGCTAAAATAGAAATAAGACCTTTAGAAAAACATGTTTACATGGACGACTACGTTGAAATAGCGGAATGGAAAATAGAGGATACTTCCGTTGGAACAACAGTTATTCCATTTAATATTACGCTGTCCGCGGAAGCGGATTTTCCTCTTTTTGATATTGTTAATTACACATCGATTACATATACTTTAACACTAAAGAGGTCTTGCAAATTGTGCTTTTTCAACATTATCCTACCGGTATTGATATTAGGAGTCCTTAATTTTCTCACGTTTTTTGTCCCTTGTGAGAGTGGCGAGAAACTGAGTAACCCGATAGCTATGTTTCTGACCTTAGCGGTATTTTTGACGACCATTACACGATCATTACCAGAGTCGATTGATGGTGCATCATACCTTAGTTTATATGTTACTTTCCAGTTGGCAGTCAGTGCAATGATTCTTCTATGTGCCGTAACTTCTCTGCACATCCACCATAAAAAGAGAAAGTCATATATACACTATATAGTATGTCAAATTACAAAATGTTTCAGACGTAAGCAAACGCAAATGAAAGGATGTAAAAATATGAACTCTTCTTACGAGGACAATTATATTGAAAATGGTCGTTCTAAAACCTTATCCGAACGTTATGAGAACTTTCACTCGGATGGCTTATCAAAAGCATTTGATATGCTAATGTTTTACGTGTTCGGATTATGTGAAGTCATTGCAACAATTACATTTAGCATATTTATTTGGAATTAAGATGTCGTTAATCAAACAGAAGTCAGAAAGAAAATCTCTTTTACAGTAACACTTGTATTGTGATTAATGATAGTATCAAAGGAAAATACAGTTTATAAAATGCCAAGATCCAGATCAATAAAAATCGAATAATATTCTGTACATTACAGTAACTGGAATCACGCGAAAGACACGATTTTACTCATGTGTTTAAGAAACTTGATTACCTCTGTTTGAATGGTTTAGAGATCGTAACACTTGACTGACTATTGGAAAGATTAATAACAGATTTAAAATGTATTAGTTTCATACTTTCTTCTTATTGCATTCAAATAGCAACGTATTTAAGATTTTTATATACAGTTCACCTAATAAAACATAAAATGTTAAAATTATTTTTATGACTAAACATTGAGGCGTGACATATGAACTTATTAAAGATTTGTTCTGTCAAAGTCATGTTATATTTTACTGATCCTTAGCGAAAATTGACCCCAAAAGTGAGAAAAAATGAGTATACCTATAGATATGCTGCACTTTATATTGCATTATTTCAACAGTTTTGGACATATTTTGGGATGTGTCTTAATTCAGAATTTCACCATTTTCATGTTTAAAGCAGCATGAACCATATATTTCAAATAAAATGAAACTTGAGAAAAAAGTACTGAGAATTTTGGAAAAGAAGAAAAATTCAGAATTACAGTAATACTTTATACGTTATAAGCGATTAATGGTTAATGTTTCATGATGTGTACCTGTATTTCTACTGCGTTACTAACTTGAATCTTGAATGTATACGAGCTTTAATGGGCAGCCATTGTAAATCGAAAAGTGCTTGCTTGGAGCGATCAAATGTTGATCTATTTAATACAAGTTTAACACACATGTGTTGGATACGTTAAAGTTTAGATAACTCAGTTTGCGAAAAACCGTACAATATGACGTTACAGTAGTCCAAATGAGATATAACAAGAGATAAAACAAGTGTTTTAGTGGCATCAGAAGACAAATACTGCCGAATGCTAGTGATCTTTAAATAGTTTAGCATAGCAGTTTTACATTTTCTTTTGATATGTTCTTTGAAATTTAAAGATTCATCTAAGAAGGCACCAAGATATCTTATACAATGTTGCGATTCGATCTTATTAACACAAATATAAATTTATTTTGTGTAACACTTCTCTAATTGTTGAGGGCTTCCATAACGAATAAACTCAGTCTTTGTGTTATTCATTTTCAATTTGTTTCCGTTCATCCACTCATTGGTGTCGACGGCGGATTGTTCGAGGTCTTGAACTGCAGACGCTTCTTCGAATAGTGATTTAAAGCGTTTGTTAGCCGTGTGGTCATCGGCAAATCCAAACACGGGAATAGAAGGAGACACAATGTCAAATATCGTTCCAGCATAGGTCAGGCATGGACGTTTCTCTCGCTCTATTCATTCCGTTCATTGTATTAATAGAAATCATTCAAAATAATTGTCATTTGGTGTATACAAATAATCCGGTAATCAACTAGCACACAGTGACTTAAAATTTGTTAACATATTATTTGACAAAATATATAAAAAATAGTCCAAGCGCAGCATGCTCTCATATGATGTGAGAGGTCCGGGGTTCGAATCCTAGTCAAGGTAACAAAATATTTTAAGTGTCTTTTTTAGTGATCTATCATTTCTCTTTTTCATCGAATAAATTGTAGCCCATGCTACTTTAAAACAATTGTTTGTAGACAAAATAGACAAAAAACGTCCAAAACGCCGAAATTAAAAAATGTTGCACACTCGGATTGAGTGAGTTTGTTCATGGACTGTATTGAAGAGTGCAAGCTTTACTTCACGGCTGTTTATACAACGTTTATTATTAAACCTTTTATGTTACATGTCAGTGCCGTTCTATGAAAAGCGATGTACGATCCAAAATAAAAGAATGCATATGGCCTAAAAGGAATGATGAATAGGCGAAACTACATAAAATCGAATTTTTTGAAGGGGAACGACTCCCAAATGAGAAAATAGAATAATATTAATGTGAAAGCAACACGATAATGCCACGTCCCTTGTGAGGTGTTAAGTAATTTTGATAAATTTTGATATGTGCTATGCAAATGGAGCTAATGTAATATGATTCCGATAATGCCGATCAGAAAAAGTCATCCGACTTGAATATTTTGGTAAAATATCTATGCAAATGCTTTAGTATACTTAAAGGTCAATGTCTGCCGTATTATTTATTCGTTCAATGCAGAAATTATAGGAACATTGCTATGGTTCGGAAGTGATTGTGTTAGCGGCTTTCTAACTCATTTCGATCGTATAATTAAAAAAAACTTCTTATATTTGTCAGCAGGAGCTTTTGCAAAAATCACAATATGTTGTCTGAAAAAAGTGACTGACTTGAAAAAAATAATAAATAAATAAACATGACTTTATATGTTATTTTAGTATTCACGTTTTTGATACAAACGGCGGTATGTGAATTAGAATTCCCGGAGTTGGAATTACAAAATAAAATCTTTAAGGGTTACAACACAAATGTAAGACCAGTGAACAATTATTCTAAGCCAGTTATTGTCACTGTTGGATTAACGTTAAGAAAAGTTTTGCATTTAAATGAAATAAGACAATCATTTAAATCTACCATGAATGTGAATCTTTACTGGTACGATGATTCGCTACAATGGAATAAATCTGAGTTTATTGGAATAAACAACATTGAAATTCCTTACAATAAAAATATATGGGTACCTGATTTAATGATTTACAATGCTTTGGAAAGGCCAGAAGATCTTGGTGTAAGTAATGCTTTTATAAGATTGAATAATAACGGACAAATTTATGTGTGGACTCAAACCAATTTTGAAACAGCTTGCGAAATCAAAACTAAAAAGTATCCCTACGATATGCAGGTTTGTGACATAGTCATCACAAAATTCATGAGCTCCGATTTGGAAATAAATATTAGACCTTTAGAAAAATATGTTAACATGAACGAATATGTTGAAATAGCAGAATGGAAAATTAAAGATACTTTCGTCAAAACAACAGTGGATCCAATTAATATTTCAGTTTTCATGGACACAGATATTTCATCAGTCGATGTTATAAATATCACATCGATTACATATACTTTAACACTGCAAAGGTCTTGCAAATTGTGCTTTTTCAACAATATCCTACCCGTCATGGTACTAGCAGCATTAAATTTTCTGACGTTTTTTGTACCTTGTGAAAGCGGCGAGAAACTGAGCTACCCGATAGCGATGTTTCTAACATTAGCGGTCTTTTTGACGATCATAACACGTTCCTTACCAGAGTCAATTGACGGCGTATCCTACCTAAGTTCATATGTTACGTTTCAGTTGGCAGTAAGTGCAACGATTCTTCTGTGTGCCGTTATTTCTTTGCAAATCCACCACAAAAAGAGAAAGTCACAGGCACAAAGTACAGCATGCCGACTGGCAAGATGTTTCAGACATCAGCAAATGGAAATTAAAGAATGTAAAAATTACAATGCTACTCCCACGGAAAATCATACGGACACAAAACAATCTGAAACTGCTTCTGAATGTAATGAAAACTTAAAATCAGAGGATTTATCTTATGCATTTGATAAACTAATGTTTAGCGTTTTAGGATTGTGTGAACTTATTGCTACAACAACATTTTTTGTTCTCATTTTAAAATGAAATTCAAGCATTAACATGAAACAAAACTCTGCAACAAATGTTTTTTCCTTGTATGTAAAACTTTTACTTATTAAAAATTATTAAACAGTTTATATTAATTAATTAAATAGGCATATTTCAATATTTACATATACTTATATGCGATACATTTTTAAATTAATATATAACGATTATATAATGAACCTCGTCAATGTTAGATGGATACTCTCAAATAACAGAATGTCATTCCTTCCATTCACAGGAAGCTTTGCAAGTATCGAAACACTGCTAATGACACATCAGCTGTTGAAACAAATAAATTTTCTGGTAATAACACGGAAGATAATATTGCCATGAAGCGTATGTAGCGCTCTTTAACTTAAAACACAAAACAATTGTGTCACTGTAGTTCCAGAGTAAAATATAGCCCTTGAAATGTAGTGCAGCCTCCACAGAGTGACACGTTTAAAAACAAAAATTTCTTTATTAACATTTTCAGTTTTTCCTGAAGTAAGACTGAACTTTTATTTCAGAGCGACACCATCTTATAATGAAAAAATGCTTTGACTCCCAAAGCATGTTGTTGTGCAGATGTTGTACTGTACAGAGAAATTGTTTAATGTTTAATTAGTAAATAAAGCATGCAGAAATCCTTTATGTTATTTTTTTTGTTTACGTAAATGCAATAAAAAAAACCTTGTCAGTCACAGGACATGTCTGATCCGGGACTCTCAGCCTGCTAGCATTTACGCGATTGTACCATATGTTGATTTCTGCATAAGCTAGCATTAGGTGTTGTAGACTACAACAGTAGGTTGCGTTTATCCCTGCTCAATAAATATATTCTGCAACATTTTCAGTTGTGCTCTGTTGTTGAATGGCAAACTTTCTGCCTTCAAGGAAGTTCACGTCTTTGTAAATGTGTGAAAAGATATAAGCCCTACAGTTGATGTCATCAATTGAATCAAAGGCAACATTGTCGCTTACTACGCCTATAAAAAAGCTTTTGACAGAGATAAAGAGATATGCTCTGGGAAATATCCTGACAATATCTGGATATTTTATCATTTTTATTGACCTTGATCTTGCAAATATTAACCTTAATTACATGTGTCACACTTGTAGTCATAATAGCTATCATTTATGTAACAATCCGTCAATAACTGATGACTAAATGGCCCTGTACACATGTTCTGTTTTTATTTTAATTTTGACCTCTCGATGGCATTTTTCAATGACTTCTGTTACCTGAACCATTAACCTAGATACCTTGTTTATGTGCATGATATAGCTTGTCATAGGGTCCACTTTACAAATCTTCATATATTTGCCTAAACTTTGCCTTCTTTGTGTAACCTTGACCTTGGCTGCAGGGGCTTGCATTTTACGCAAAACATTCTGCCTCACAATGGTAAACATTTGCGTTACGTTGCATTGAAATCCCCCAATGTATGTTAAAGTTTTGTTTCGGATAACAGATTTTCAATGAGCTCTTAGTGTGAATTTTAGATTTAACCCAGACACGGCTTCTGATAATGGTGAACATTTCTTTGTTGTTTTAATCAAGTCCCTCTATGCTCCGCACACAATTGGACGCCGCCCGCCCTACCGCCCGCCAAACCGACTGCCCATCAGGGGCATTTCTATAATACGACCCGTTTTTGAAACGGACGTATAAAAAGTAGAGGACCTATAATGGAGCCTTGAGGTACGCCACATTTCACTAATTTCTGCAATTGATGCATATTTGCCTGATAAATCAATGTTTGTATTTTTCTTTGTATATAATTCTTGTAAAATCAGCGATGATTTGTTTAAAATTCAATATATCAATATAAGACTGGAAGGAATTAAATAAAATCATTTAGAACTATCTTAAACATCAGTGTTAAAAATCACCTACAAGTGTACTTTTGTTTCATTAAAACAGGAACTGGATGAAAACACATTTTCTGGAATAAAACTTAAAGTTACTCTGCTTTGAAGGTCTGTCGATACATTTGCAAATAAAAGGTTTAGTTTAAAAGATATCAGTTTTATCACTATAGTTTTACTTATCATATCGGTTTTGATCGATTGGCATTGGAAAACATTGACCAAGCTATCTAGAATTACCATTTAATCACCATTCATTTAGGTTTTAAAATAAGTAATTCTGAACTTTTCAGCTTATGATGACATGTTGACGTAAGCGTACATTGTTTGCATACAAGAAACAATACACACACAACAATGCATAAGCAGTAAAATTCTTTTATTTACTAACTGAACAATTATTATCTACATAACCATGATATTCTGATACTCATCAAATGTACAACATATTTATTTTTTACACTGTATTCTCAAATTAGCAGTACTGCATGGAAGTAACAAACACAAAATAAGATTATTGTACAATTATGAAACGCCATTTGTAAATGGTTTAATAAGTCAAACACGTGTATTGTGTTATATCAAAAATATTATGCTAAAATTTGATTGCTAAAATTTGATATTTGCAATTGCTGATTCATGCTATAACGGTTCCCTTTTAATGTAAAATAAATACTTTTGAGTACACGCAAAGAAGTCATGTTACGTTTTTAACTATACACACTATAGGAAAACAGTATAAATACACCGTAATATGAAACACCTATCAGATTTTATTTAAAAAAGGACTAAATTAACTCGACCAGTAATAAGAAATGCAGATTACTAGACATAGTTTGAGCATTCTTTATGAATAAGACAAATACATTCAGAAATTCCTAGATTTCAATAAATTCCTACAATTAAAGTATTTTACCCAATGATGAGCACAGTGCATGTATACCTATGCTATGTAGTTTCAGTTAAATATGATATAGATAAAAAATATCGTGGCAACTATTTCACAAATTGTTAGTAATGTAAACATTGTCTTGTCAAATATAAACGATACATCTAAATCATATTCTTCGTTTTGAGATTCTAATATTTTGTCTTCTTGTTCTTGCTGGTCATGTTCTAAATTCCATGTTTCTGCTGCCGTCGTTTTGTCTTCCTTTGCAAACAAATTTCTGCGACAATTGAATTTACACATTAACAGATGAATCCATTTGGGCATCATTACATTTCTTTTTCTGTAATGGAGATGCAACGAAATAATTGCACAACAAAGAGTTATCGCACTACATGAGAGTTGAAATGTTACATAGGAACTAAGGTATGACACGCCATCAACCGATTCTGGCAAAGATTGTGTAATAATTGTCAGGAAAACTGCCAAGGTTAGAAAAATAGAAATTGGGTAACTGGTTTTCTCGCCACTTTCGCAAGGAACGAAAAAGGTCAGCAGGTTCAATATTGCCAGAATCAGAACTGGGATGATCGCATTATGGAGACACAAGTGACAGGACCGTCGGATTTGTACAGTATATATTATCGCCGTATAGTTAAGGGTGTCGATTGCTGACTCGCCTGCAAGAATATCAGAAGATATGTTAAATGGAATTAATTTTATGGTTGCTTGATTGTGTATTATCTCCCATTCAGCGATGTTAACATATTCTGATAAATCAATGTTCTCTGACAATGGTTGTATATATACCTTATCGTCAGGACTGATGAATTTTCCAAAGGCTATATCACATATTTGTACATCGAAAGGATATTTCTTTGTCTTAATTTCACATGCAGTTTCAACGCTAATTTGTGTCCACACAAAAATTTGTCCATTGTCATATAATCTAACAAAGGCGTCTTTTATGCCAAGTTTACCCGGTTCCTTTAAAGCGTTGTATATCATTAAATCAGGTATCCAAATGTTATCGTGAAATGGAAATTCAATGCTCGATATTCCATGACAGTGTGCTTTATCCCAAGTAAGAATTTGATCCGTCCAGTAAAGAAGTAGATTTACAATTGTCGTAAATGCTTGGTTAATTTCATCAACATGCTGAATTTTACGTAATGTAAGTCCCAACGTGACATTAACTTGACTATAGAAATTAGTTACTGGCCTCACGTTGATGTTATAATCCTTGAATAAATGTCTTTGCAAGGATGCTTCATCACAAGTAACTTTATTTAATGTTGATGTCGTTGGCAAATAATTTCCATTTGATTTTGAAGGTGTTGTACTTGACGAGTTCGCTATGCTGAATGTTGACGATTCCACATATTTTGCAGTAGACGAATTAGTAACTGACATTTCATTCATTATATCAGTAACTGTTGCAAAATATGACAATTTTGCTTGTCTTAGAATAAAAAGTAAAATCACGAAACGGAAATGTTTACTGATCATATTTTATTATTAGTATAAATAAAATATCAAACTGTTTGCTTTCATATATCCAAATGTTATGATAAGTTGTTCAGACTGTCACATATAAAGGTTTGCATTTATCCGATAAATATTTCGTGATATTTTGCATTTGGTATTTAATTGACATTTCGATGAATGCTAAGTGATTTGACTATACTTTTTGCCGTGAATTATTTAAAAGCCAATACCGTTTGAATATTACGCAAAGCACAAAACGCACAAACAACATCATTATAAAAGTATCATGGGAATGTATGTAACAGCAAAAACCGTGAAGGGTTTTTAGATAGTTTCAATAATGTTAATGACATACATCTGCAAATGTGTTTCAATAAAGATTGATGGTCCCTAATGCTTTATATGATAAAACTAGCCAGACGCACATAAATATTTTAATTGATATTTCAAATAATTGTACTATCTACAAAATTAAATGCAATTTATTCCAAGGGAATATACCACATTTGACATTTCCGATCAAGAATATTTTATTGTTACATATCGATTATATGGAGTTGTGCCAATGGCATTTTGTCTTTTTATGACATTGACTTTTAAAGGTTATACATAGTATTTGAACAATTTAATTTTAAAAAGGAAGTTTTAATACTATAATCGACTTGATTAAGTATAATTACGCGAAACGCCTTGTAGATGCAAAATATTGTCAAAGCCAATAAAAAAATGAATAATTTATATATGGTTAAGATAATCAATCTCAAAAAGACCTCCAGGTTCCCTCATTGAAACATATTTTTTTCTTTTCATTGTTATGAATCGTATGCTTACTGAGGATTAAAAACACTTATCTTGAAGTTCACCTGTACAGAATAGTTACCCGTAAATACCGTAATAGAAACAGGTCTGCATAGTATATATATTTTTTATATACTACGATGGCGATTACAAAATAAGTTATTTTTATTACACTTATTATTTATTACCTTTGCCTATTGAAATATTTGTGCTGTTTTGACATATAAAGTTGTGGAAATATATTTATTTAGAGGCGTTTAAACCTAAGATTACATAACTTGTCTTTAACTTTCACAATTGCTGTTCTCTTTAAATCAATGGTATGTCAATGACGACTTTAATAGAGCTACATCGAGAAATAGGGAGATAAAACTTACATGTAGATGTATCATTGCTCCAATTGTCGAAAAAATTATTGAGCCAGTAAAATTAGCAAGAATCCTAAGCATACTATTTTTAATGCAAAACAGATATTGTACGCGTGTCACTTTTTGAAATATGTTTCTTTTAAAACAAAATGACCTAGCAGTAAGGTACAATATGATTTTGTACATTGGTTCTATTTTCGGTAACAAAAAAATGTTGTCATTGGTACGTTTTACAATAGAGAGAAATAAAAAAATCCCTAAAGAAATGTAAACACGACAAAATTGAAAAATGTTGCAAGCTCGGTTTGATTGAGCCTGTTCATGGACGATAATTGAAAGCATTGTCAAGAGAAAAGTGTAATTTTGATCTCCTAACGAGATATACGTATATACATTGCTGTTTGACATAGGACAATTCTTCAAATTAAAAACACCGAATACACCAAACCCACATTTATTATTATTTTATTCATCAATTTCCACGCTACCTTTGGTAACTCACACTTTTTCTTGATTATGCTAATTAAAAATTAAACTGAACCTTCTTGTCACTGTATTTGTTAGAAAGCTTTAATTCCGTTAAAAAGTTTCATATCTTAGTACAAATTTATGTTTTTGTCATGTAAAAAAAACCAAAAAAAAACCAACAACTGATTTTATTAAAAAATATTACAGCTATCGTTAACAGATGAAAAACTATCAAAATAATGTTGAGATAACATTAAACTTATTTTCCTTGTTTAATGTACATTTATATCAAATATCATAACTGCTATCTTTGTAATGATTGTTTTCTCATTTTCAAAATATTTTTGAGATTATTATTCATAGGGCGTTGAATTGGATTCTTCGTCTGCATCTGAAAATAAAAACTAAACATAAGAAAACGTCAACACTGTTACATTTATCAGTCACAAGTAACCATCAGTTTTACTATCAACCATTTATACCCTCAATCCCCTTATTGTAATCATCAGTTATCATAAAATTATAATTTTGCGTTATCATCCACATCATCATCATCATAATCATCATCATAACCACCGTCGTCGTCATATTCGTCGTCGCCATTGTCAACATCTCCATCATTAACACTACCAGTAATTGATGTCATTGCTAGCAGATAAACGAAGCTGTTTTTTACCATTCATAAGTAATGATTTGCAAAACACTTTTGGAGTAACGATTAAATTATACAAAAACATGTTAAGAAACAACGCAAGAAATGCTTTACGTTACCTCGCAAAGATTTGAAACTGCGCATTGCTACATCTGTACTAAAGCTTTACGTTACCTCGCAAAGATTCGAAACTGCGCATTGTCAAAGGTGTACTAAAGCTTTACATTACCTCGCAAAGATTTGAAACTGCGCATTGTTACATTTGTACTTTCACCTCCAACATCATCAGATTTGTCGGTGAACCCGGAGTCACTGGTCAGGTTGCTGATCTTGCTTGTTTTCCTGGTTTTAGCATTGTTGTCTTCAATTATATAACATAATGCTTTAAATTAAGTAATGTTAACATGACTACATGATTATATTAGAATAAAAAACCGGTATGTTTAATGGCATTTTTTTCTTTATTGTACAAATATGTGTTTATTTTACATGATTGGTAAAGTGTACTCCTCTTAAAATTTCTTTACTGTAGGAAAATATATTCAGAATATGAAATCATTAGCAAATTCAATTTCAATAGTTATATCTCATTTATGGTACAAGATGTTTAACTGAGAATGTTTCAAAAGTCATCTAAACTTTATATTATTTATTACTATAAAATAAATAACTTTATCATATTCTTCAGATAAATACAAACAATAACAAAAGTTCACTACTATGTTTGAAAAAACTTGACGTTTAAAGTTGAATTTTGGTATCAGTTATATAGAACAACAACAATAAATATTCTTTAAAAATTAAAAGAATGGTGTCAAATTGACTTTTGTTTTGTTTCTAACTTTAAAACTAAAACGGTTTAAATCATAACAAACACAATCAAAGAAAAACATATGTGTTGTTTTTGTTTGCTATTAAAACAGGTATCTATAAGTTTCGATGGAACGGTTCAGAATAACTAGCATATGTTGTCATTTATCAATGGGTCATCATTTTATTTTACAACAACAATTATCTAGATACAGTGCAAACATATGGATTTGAAAATACAAATATTTTAAGTTGTAAAGGTACTATATTTGCTCTAACTTCGCACAAAATTTATATAAAATACTATAAATATTTCTTAATTAAAGATTATTCTAGAAAAAGAAAAAAAATCCGTAATCTGACCTTACAAAAAAAGAAGAAGGTGAACAAATTGAAAACATAAGTTTGCCCCTATTTGGGCTTGAATCCCGCCCCCCCCCCCCTTGAAAAAATATGTTTCCTCACTGAAAATAAAAACTCTTTAGAAAAAGAAAAGCGGTTCTGTATTAGGAATGTAATTCGTTGCATAAATGATAAGATGCTACAGTTTATCAGCTTTTGTAACAAGGAATGGCGTGTTAGATAAAATAGATCTAAACTACGGGTAAAGAAGATTTCGCAAATATGTTTTAAAATAAAGAGTTAAACATGTCCCTAAATGAGGAAGTTATTCTGTTAAATACTATAGGTCTACATTTAAGTCTACACAGGTTTTTTTCTTATTTCAGGATTGGAAGCGAGACAACTCTATATAAGAAAGAAGGTGTCAGGTAGTCAGAGTTAGTAAAAATTTGAGTCCAAGCGAACAGTCTTAAGAGGGTTTGAAGAACAGTTTGAAAGATTTATATTTGGAAACAGTATTTTATTGTTTTAAATATGAAAGGGTAATATGACTAGTTAGTTATGAAATCCTTTTTAAACATATCCAATGCCATTCAGCAGTACATAAAAGGAGGTGTAAATGCTTCAGAACAATATTTTCGTTCATCAATGCATTGCACTTCAAAAAAATATATTGATAAATAATGTTTTATGGCTAGTATATTTATGATATTTTAGAATCTGTATGTGTGTTTGTATTAGGATCTTTAACAGAGATATCTACAAGAGATCTAGAGAGTTCAGCTCTATCACACGTTTTTTCTAAGTCACACGTTTCACCTGCTTCCGGTATTTCAACAGGTGTAAACTGGTTGTCAATAAGCGGCGCATCTGAAAACGCAATTCGTTTTCAAATTTTAGCAACATCTTTATCGTTTGTTTCAGTATTGACCCCATTATGATCTACCGAAGTTATTTTCGCGAAGTATTCAGCGGGTGGGGGAACAATGCCATTTTTTTAGGTTTTCTCTTTTTTAATGTCCTCTGCTTTTACAGACTTGATACCTGAAATGTCTTCCTAACAGCTGTTAAGTTTGGTTCGGGATTCCCGAACTGATATTAAACTGTTTTGGTTTATGTCTTCATTTTCAGTTTCTTTGTATTTTTCATCAACATATGCCGGATCAATTCCCGTCAACCACCATGTTAGCATTTCACCTTTACCCTGAAATTAAAGAAACAGTTTCATAAGTAAAGTATATCTATTTATGTCTCAAATGGCTGTAACTAGTAATTCTTTCATTTTATTTTAAATGATTACTGTTAAACTTGAGCTTAAGAAATTTAGAATGCCACCTAGATATTACGCTCTGAAAATTGTTACAGGATGCTGATTATTTGTGCCAAATTATTATAAAACATTTCCAAATAACAAGTTATTGCGTTCATACCATATGTTGACTTTTGAAATTTAAGTATGTCGTTGTTCTTATGGGTAACATTTTTTGGGTTCTCTA